CCCCAAAACCCCAAAACCCCAAAACCCCTAGGTGAAATATAAATTCAAATAGATCAGGTAAAAAAATAATAATTAATGGTAGAGAAATTAAATTAAAAGTAATTTTCAAGTGAAAACAAGGGGGAGCACAACATACTTTCACTATTTTCCACTCCAACGAATAACTTTGGCCTCGGTCTGATCTTCAAAAAGCTAGTTATTCTCAATGACTAGCATTAAAAATTAGCTGTAACTAGATAAATTAATCTATAATAATATACTCATGATTATTTTAAACTTTTCAAACATTATACTAACCTTAAATGTAGGTAGACGAGATTTCTCAATAACTAGAGGAAGAGCTCGAAAAATGTATAAATAGCAATGAAAAAAAGTATAAGATTTATATTCATTCTTTCAAATAGGCAATTCAACTACTATTTGAAACTTTTAAAGAGGCTAGCATATGAGTGCCCAATACTGCATATTTCAGAAACCTTCTTTAATCTATTACAGAAATATATCGTAAGCATTTTTAATAGTAAATCTTAAATATATTCTTAACTTAATCCTTCTAACTATTAACTAAATGAATTATAGAATCATCCTCAGTCAGAAATAAGTTCAGAAGAAGATGAAATTAGCACATTTTTCCCAACAAAAGAATGCCCTTAGATTTTCGAGACTCCAAATATACATAATCAGGCATCAGCAATACTTAAAATGCCAGAGTCATAAAATGATGAATCACTAGATGTATAAATATAGAATTTACTCATTTTAGAAAGTGATTTAAGTCAGTAATCAAGATAAAGGCATTCTAGACCTCTCGAAAGTTTATGATGAATTCGAAAAGGAGTACATTAACTTGCAGGATTTACTCTATCGAACATTTCTGACAAAGGGTAGATTATTTCACCATGAAAGAATACTTTGCTGGTTCCCAAAATACTTACAGCATTTTGATGAAACTCTAGATCAGATGATGAATAGAGAAGATGTGCTACCAATTACCTGGAAATACTATTTATCTATTATGGCTGTTAGCTGTTATGACTGTGAGTATCTTTTGAAGATTTAAGAAGAATAATTTTTACTTTGGGGAGGAGATATAAAATGGTTAACAGATGGAATAAAAGTAGTAGACAGAAAACTACAAAAGATTGGAGAGTTAAATGAGTTACTTGCTTTTAGACCCTGGGCAATTAGTTAAACTCATATTGATCAACTCGTGAGAGATGGTGAGAGTCATAGATTTAATTGGTCTACACATGAAATACTTCAAGCAGGTTCAATCTTAGCAAGTTATCACTCACTTTGTGGATTGATTTTTGGAAATGGGATTAAGGAAGACATTGATATAGCTTTAACTTTTGAAAAATCTAGTGTAAGCAAACACAAAAATCAGAGTGCAAATTTGCTGAAGAGTGATTTAAATCAACTTGAACTAGAGAAAACTATTGGATATCTTCAATGCTAGAATGAAGATGATGATGAAGATTCTAATCATAATTTTGACGAGAAGGATCAAGACTCAGACTCAGATCTTAATCTAAATAGCAGTAGCCTCTCTCCATCAACCAAAGCTTTGGACTCGGTGCAAGAATTGGAGGAGGAACATCACAATGATGATAACTTAAAAAGACTTGAAATTTTTAGGAAGCATAGATCAAATATGTTAGACAGGTATGTAGATTACAACAAAGCTCAAGAAGCCAGTCTCTAGGACCTTTCAGATTACTCCTGGGAGTTTCAAGGAGTTGATCTATATTCCAGATACTTACCAGAGTTAATTGAGTTAATGCAAAACTAAATTGATTATGCAATGAAAATGACAAAGAATACCTACGGTAATGCAGCAAATTTAAACACAAATGACTTTAGATAATCAATATCAGTTTATCTTATGCTGATTCATGGCATCAGAGATGATCAGTTTAACTATACCAAAATTAACAAGACATTATTAATCCATCATAAGCGTTTTATTAAGAAGATAGGATGCTAACCAAATCAAGTAACCTAAAGTGAGTATGATGAATTATCTACATTGCTTTCAACTAGTGAAAAGTGTCATATTTGTATTCTAATAATGGAAACTAAAAAGCAGATTGAGCTTTTATGGCTCACAAAAGCTGTAAATCAATGCATTAATCAATGAAAATATGATTAATAGATTATTATCTTCCAATCAAATTTGATGTTATCCTTTATGGGGTTTTGGGGTTTTGGGGTTTTGGGGTTTTGGGGTTTTGGGG